TTACCAAGTCCTTCTCCAGCGACTGATCCTTCCTGATAACATGTCCAAAGTAAGTGAGACAAAGTCTTGCTATCCTGGCTGTATTTCTTTAAGACAGATTTGTTTGTTCTGGTTCCCTGATGTAACTAATATTCTTCGACACCATAATTCAAATGTGTCATCGCCGGACTTCCTTTTTCATTATCTAGTTTCCCATGCATATGAGGTGGTTAAAAATACCACGGCTTGGGTCAGGTACACCTTAGTCATCAAAGTGATATCTTTGCTTTTGAAGATTTTAAAGAGGTCTTTGGCAGCAGGATTTGCCCAGTACAGTGTGTTGCTTGCTTTCTTGATGATTGATTATGGAGGTCTGAGGAATCCTGGTGTGGCGCTGTAAGATAAGCACTGGACAGCAAGGTCGTTTGAATTGCAAGGTTGGCGGTTCAAACTCCTCAGAAGCCCTATACCAGGTCGCTTTGAGTTGGAAGTGACTCACCGCCACTTAACAACAACAAAGTGGGAAAAGCAGCATGTTTAGCTAATGGAAAATCTGGCCGCCCTCTGGAGGAAAGCTTTAATGTGGATTTTATCTCACATCAGACTTCTGGACAAACTCCCTTCCAGTCAAGGATAAAGCACCAACAACTCCACTCATGTGGACCCCATGTGTGCAGAACGGTGCTCCATAGGGTTCCCAGTGGCTGATTTTTCAGAAATAGATCAAGCAGGACTGTCTTCTGAGGCTCCTATGGACTCAAACTTCCAACCTTTAGGGTAGCAGCTGAGCACATTAAGCTGGGGGCCACGCTGGGCCTCCTTAGCAAAGATCTAAATGGAGTAATGAAAACAGTGGGGTGATACCAGAAGCAGAATGGGGCAACGGTGTCATCTAAGAATTGGAAGAAGAGTGTCTGCGTGGCATAAATAGTTAAGCACTAGGCTGCTAGTTAAAAGGTTGACGGTTCAAACCCACCCAGAGGTGCCTTGGAAAACAGGTCTGGCAATCAGCTTCTGAAAGGTCACAACCTTGAAAACCCACTGGAGCAGTTCTGCACACTCATGGGGTCCCCATGTGTTAGAATTGCCTTGAAGGCAACGAACAAAAATACAAGTGGCAGGGGGGTGGCGGGGAGGGGAGCCTGTTTACCTCAAGAAGAACCTAGAAATCACCAGAGTTGATTAGTTTGACCACACACACAAACCACCTCAGCATGAAGAACTGTGAGCCAAGCCAGAAGACAGTGACAGATGGGAGACGTCACCTCGGGCTTATCTCCTCACAGATAAAGGTTAGAGAAAGAACAGCAAACCCCAAGAAGTGGGCAAAGATAGGCCAGGCAAGCTCACGTGATCTTAAGAGAGTTGGCTCCATGAACACACAACCTGTACCGTTCTCAGCTCATGGTGACACGTGGTATGAAGTACAACTGCCCCATCGAGCTTTGTTGACTGTAAACTTTACAGATCATCAGGCCTTTCTTCTTTAGCACTACTGGGTGAGTTAGAACCGCCAACCTTCTAGGTGGCTTCTTGTTAAGTGCTGTTGAGTTGATTCCAACCCCCTAGTGATCCTGTATAGGGTTTCCAAGGAGCAGCTGGTGAACTTGAACCACCGACCTTGCAGTCCAAACGACTTTGCAGTCTGACGCATTAGCCCACAGCGCCAGAGTACAAATTGTTTGTGCCACCAGAGATCTTGTTTTAGCCTAGGGCAAAGCAAATTAACATGATTAGAACCACTGTAGCCACTCCCTGATTGGCACCGTGGTTTACTTGCTGGGCTGTTAAGCTCAGGTTGCCAGTTCGAATCCATCAGCTGTTCCTGGGAGGAAGATGAGGCTAACTGCTCCCATAAAGATTGACAGCCTCAGAAACCCTAAGGAACAGTTCTCTTCTGTCTTATGTTGTGGCTGAGTCAGAATTGACTTGATGGTGGTGGGCTTGGTTTTTGGGGTCATCTTTCCAAGGGAGATCTTAATGTTCTTCTGTGAAAGGCTCTGTTCTACGGGGTTCACAAATAATGCAAGGTGGAAAGTTGTAGGTGAGTTGGTACCGACTCATAGGGACCTGCCCGGGCCTGTGCCAACCTTAGAATTGTTATGCTTGAGCCCATTGCTACTGCCGCTGTGCCAGTCATCTTGGTGAGGGTCTTCCTCTTTTGCGCTGACCCTCCATAGCTGCTCCACCATAGTATGAGACAAACTGGCAGATGAGTGGTTAAGTGGCTTGTTTATGTGTGATGCCACAAAAGCAAGACGCTGTGGAGAGTGAACAGCTGTAGGTACCACAGGTGAGCCGTGAGCTTTCTATATCCCTTGGTGTTGACTTTACCAGTTACCCTGGACTCCGGCTCACGACAACCCTGTGTGTCAGAGTAGAACTGGGCTCCATAGAGTTTTCAACAGTTGGTTTTTTAGAAGTAGGTTGCCAGGTGAGGCACCTCTGGGTGAATTTGAACCACCAACCTTTCAGTTTGTAGCCAAATATGTTAACTGTGTTCCCTAGGGACTCCTTTGGTGTTTAAACGAATCCCAGTGCCATGGAGTCGCTTCTGACCCATAGCAACCCCAATCTACGACAGAGTGGATCTGCTCCTTAGGGTGTCTGAAATGAACTATTTACAGAAGCAGACCACCTCATATTTCTCCTTCCGAGTAGCTGGTGAATTTGAGCCGCTAAACCAGCATCGGCTCAATGCTTAACCCATGCTGCCACCACAGCTCCTGTGTTTAGACCAGGAGACTATAGTACTTGTTCAAAATATTCATAAACTAGATGACATAAAGACCTTCTATCTAGACAGAGACAGAAAATGTGTGGGCAGTTCTTGGAGCTTGTCTGCTGGGTGAGGATCCAGGCAGTGCCAGCAGGCTGGCCAGCTGTTTCACAGCTGCTGTAGAACAGTGGCAAAGGCAGAGAGAAGTAGACTGCCCTCTGCCATCCTGGTTAGGGCAGAAACCTCTGGTCATGACTGGTAAAGTGGGCCTGGGCAAATCCCCAGCAGTGTGGTTCCCTCCCAGTCCATACTCCAGAGCCCTGTCACTACTACTTCATACAGAGAACATAGATTTTACCTGCCAGGGGGTGGAGTACCCATGGAAAACAAATCACAAAGCCTACTGCTGTTTCCATTGCGTGGATTTTGACTCATGGTGACTCCATATATAGAGTAGAACTGCTCTGTAGGATTTTCAAGATGGTGGTCTTTCAGAAGCAAACCACCAGGTCTTTCTTCTGTTGTGCTGTTGGATGGGCTCAAACCCCTAACTTCTAGGTTAGTGGTTGAGCATGAACCACTTACGTCACCCAAGGAGTAGATCTCAAATAGTGACGTTCTATAAAAGTGTGAGTTGCAGCAGAAGACCTCTTTGGAGACAGTTTGAAATACTGCCTCTTATTTATTGTTGGTATTGTCATTGCCTCGGTTCCGACTCATAGCAATCTTGTATAGGGTTTCCAAGGAGTAGCTGGTGGGTTTGAACTGCCAACTTGTGGTTTGTGCAGTCCATTGCTGATCCTACAGCGGCAGCCACATGAGGAATCCAATAAAGTTTATAGAGTTTAAAGAGCTCTCTCTGTGATCTTAAACTAGGGTTAAGTGAATACATACTATATTGTTTCAGATTTGTGTGTGTTCTATTTTTTTTTTAGTAAAGTGAAATTTACACAGCACAATTCAACATTTGAAAGTGTTCAGTTCGGTGGCATTTAGTGTTCTGTAGCCACCACCTCTATCTGGTTGAGAAAATCCCATACCCATCACTTTCTAGCCCTCTACTACCAGCAATCACTAATCCAATTTCCTTTCTTTATGGAATTGCCTGTTTCAGACATTTCATATAAATAGAATCACACACTACATATTGTGCCTGGCTTCTTCTACTCAGCAGCATGTTTTCAAGTGTCATCCACACTGTAGCATTTCCCAGTGCTTCATTTTTTTTTTTTTTTTAATGGCTGAGCAATTTCCATTGTATTTATTCATTCATTTACTGAAGGACACTTGGGCTGAAAAGTTTCCACCTTTGGGATGTTATGAAAAGCCCTGCAATGAACGTTCATATACAAGTTAAATGTTTTAAGTCTCTGTTTTCGATTCTTTTGGGTCAATAGGAGTGGCCGAGCTAGTTCATATTGTAACTCTATGTTTAACCTTTAGAGAAATCAGATTCCAGTGTGAGCACATTGCATAACACATTTTCTAAAATGAAGGAAAAGGAAACTTCATTTTATTTAACAGCAACAAAAAAAGCCTTTTGAGGTTTCGTTTTGCTGTGAAAATGCAGATAAGAAAGAGGCACGGTCAGGCTGATTCAAAGCAGTGTGGAGCAGGTGTGGGGATTCTGGCCAAGGCTACTTTTACAGTGAAGGGTCGAGGCTCAGAAGGACGGTTCAAGCCCGTCCGTAGCTGAGTTGCCGGCAGTCTTTGCTCTCTGGAATCTGGGGCGTCGCAGTATAGGTATAGAGGGGTTAACCCGAGAATGGGGGTCCTCAGGATGGAGAATCTGTGGGCCAAACAGAGCGTGCCCAAACCGAAGGGGTGAGAGCTTCAAGAAGGAAGGTCCAAGGCAGCCGAACTTGGCTGGAAGCAAAAAAATTGTGAGGAGGGCGGAATGGTTGACTTGTGGAAGGATCTGGAGCGGAGCAGTTTAGAGGGGTCAAAAGCAGGTGGGCTCCCAGGCTAACCCGGCCCTGTTCTGACCCTCAGGAAGCCACTGAGGAACGGCCTGGTGAAGGACAAACGCTTCTGAGCCACACAACCCCGTCCTCATATCCCTCAGCCAGAACTCCACCCAGCCCCGCCCTTGGTCTCAACTAGGGCCCCGCCCCCCTCCTTGGACCCCTGTTATCCTCGGTCACGCCCTCTCAACTCACCTCCAGCCCTGCTCCATCCACAGACCCTGGTCAATCAGTCACTCCTCCTCCCCGGTCCTGGTTCCTCAGCCCCGCCCCCAGTCCTGCAGGTCGGAGGGTGAGGTGGCCCAGTCCCACTTGTCTGACCGCCGCCTTGGAGGAAGATGTTTTCGTCGTGCTGCCGCCAAGGATACCGCCTCCTCCTCCTCCTGGCACTGCTGCTGCCATCGCCGCCCCTGGCCCGTGCTCTGGCGCCCCTGGGCCCTGCCGCTACCTTGCTCCAGACCCTCGGAATGCACGGTGCGCTTCGGGACAACCCCCCATCCCGGCCTGTGCCCCCCGTCATGTGGCGCTTGTTCCGCCGCCGAGACCCCCAGGAGATCAGGGCAGGCCAGCGGCGGACGCCCCCGGGGACCACCCTGCGACCTTGCCACGTGGAGGAGCTGGGGGTCGCCGGAAACATTGTGCGCCACGTTCGGGACCGCGGTGAGCAGGACTTGCGCTAGGGAGAGGCTGAGTCCCCATGAGGCAGTCAGTCTGCTGCAAGCCTCTAATGGGTTTGGGGACTTGGAGTGTCCCTACCCCGAGCTCCCCTTCTGTTCTCTGCGCTCCCTTCGAGAGGGTACCCTAGTCCTGGGAGGACCCCCTTGCTGGCAGCCAAGGCCCTGCCCCCGCCTCTGGCACTTCACACCTTTTGATGCTTTCCAGCCTGACCCCTGCCAGCATCCTTCCGCCACCACCGCAGGCGCTTGCATCCAAACCCTGCCCCCACTATGTTTGCTTCATACCCTTCCAAGCCTTGCGCTGCCCCTACCCTCATTTAAGCACCTCCTCCCACTGCCTCAGGGCTCACCGCACGACGCGTGCCTTCCTAGGTGCTCCTTTGCGGCGCCTGGAGCCCGCCTCAGCCTCTGGTTCTTGCCCAGAATGGACCATCATCTTCGATCTGTCGGCTGTGGAGTCCGTGGAGCGTCCAAGCCGCGCACGCCTGGAGCTGCGCTTCGCGGACATGGGAGCTGAGGGCCCAGCGGGTGGCTGGGAGCTGAGTGTGGCGCTTGCAGCTGGATCGGGTTCCAAGACCGGGCGCTGGGGACCACTGCGCCTGGCCGTGCCCTCTCTGCGCGTGCCGGTGCGCGCCGAACTGCTGGGTGCCGCCTGGGCCCTCAACACCTCGGCGCCGAGCACCCTTCATCTGGCGCTAGCGCTGCGCTCCCAGGCCCCGGGTGTCTGTGCGCGCCTGACCGAGGCCTCGCTGCTGCTGGTGACGGTGGATCCGCGCCTCTGCCACCCTTTGGCTCGGTCGCGGCGCGAGGTGGCCCCAGCGGCGGGTGGCGGTCCATGTCGGGCGCGGCGGCTTTACGTGAGCTTCCGCGAGGTGGGCTGGCATCACTGGATAATCGCCCCGCGCGGTTTCATGGCCAACTACTGTCAGGGACCGTGTGAGCTTCCTGCCGCCCTGGGTGCTGCGGGACCACCGGCGTTCAACCACGCGGCGCTACGTGCTCTTATGTACTCGGTAGCACCGGATGCCCAAGGTGGTCTGCCCTGCTGCGTGCCGGCTCGCCTCTCACCTATCTCTGTCCTCTTCTTCGACAATAGCGACAATGTGGTGCTGCGGCACTACGAGGACATGGTGGTGGACGAATGCGGCTGCCGCTGACCTACAGGAATTGGGTGGGTGGGGGGCTGGATAATAAAGCTCAAGAAGTCTCTGCCACTGGTTCTTTCGTCTGGTAACTGCGTCGAATCTTCGCATTGGGGCGGGGGTAGTTTGGGACCGCTGATGGTACCACCTACCCAGCTCTTATGGGGTGTTCCCATTCCTGTTTAGGTTTTTGTGGCCACAATCTGAGAGCGCTGCAGCTCCCCCCAAAGGTCCAGCTAGTCCCCATCTCCCTATCCCAAACCCTTTGCACTCTGCAGCTGCCAGCCCACCAACACCCAGCAGTTCCTCAGTCCCTGGTACCAACGCAAGAGCTGTTTATTAATATTTTATTGGTGACAAAACAGCTTAAAACAAATTGACCAAAAATCAAAAGCCTTGGAGGGCGCTCCGGGATCACGAACTTGGGAGTAAGCGCCGCCCCAAAGGCACAGAACAAAGTGAAAGCGCGGAGCCGAGGCAAAGCATTCAACTGAAGGGGCAGATGGGAAAGGGCTGGTGTGGTAACCCATCTTGGATGCCTGGCTATAGCATGTCCCTCTCGGCAGAAGCCAGGTGGGGGCCGGATCAGTGACAGGCTTTGGGTCCCAAACTGGATGGGTGCCTGGTAGACCAATGCCACTTCAGTTTGCCAGGAGTTAGGGGGTGGGGAGGGGCGGCACTCCCAACTAAATATCCTCACACCCAAACTCAGGCTGGGTGTCCCCTGCCCGATTCAACAAACCCCTGTAATCCCGTCTGATTTGGCTTTTAAGAGCTTCTCCCAAAACATCAGAAGCCACCCCACCGCTGCCAAGCGCCTTGAAAGTAGAAAAATCCAGACAGGATGGGCCACTTCTCTCAGGACAAGACCAAGGACCAAGGACCTCTTGTACACCTTTCTGCCAAGTCCTCCTGACGGGTCCTGGGCCAGCGGAGCAACTTCCGGCAGGACAGCCATCTTCCCGCCCTCTGGTCTCTTGCCTCTGCCCACAAGGCCTTTGGCCATCCTGTGAAGGCCTCTCCTGGCAGCGTCCTGGAGCGCTCATCATGGGGCCTCTCATGCCCGCCAGAAAGCGGCTTTGCTGCTCGAAGTCCAGCAGAGCTCGTGGCGCCCACAGTAGTGGCGCCCCTTGTGGCCGCACCGCCTCATAGCTGGACGATGCCGGAAGCTAGAACCTAAAAAGCTCCTCACACTCGCTCTGGTTCTGTTTCCTGTGGGTGTATGTAGTCCCAATTTCGAGTTTTGTTGGCTTGTTTAAACTTCACTTCTGGAAGCTTCTTGCATCTCCCAGGTCCACCGCTAAGATTTTGGAGAGAAACTTAGGAAAAAGTGTAGCTTTCAGTACTCCTTTAAAAGAATCTTAAAAAAAAAAAAAAAAAAAAAGAACAAAACAAAACAAAAAATCCCAAACACCATTATTTTCTTCAAATGAAACCCTTTCAGAACATGGGCAGCGGCAGATGGCAGGGCTCACTGTGCCCTCCCAAGGAGCCTGCTCTGCACGAAGTGTGGAGTTTCTCCTGCTAAAACGTAGTCCCCTTTCGACAGAAGAAAATAAAAGAATGAACAGAGGAAAGGGCTACTCTGAGCTGAAGGTCTTCCTCCCGCCCGCCCGCTGGCAGACCCGTGTGGACGCAGGAGCCCGGCCTGGGGCTGGGCCGCTGGGCGGGCACGTTCGCACTCTCTGTCTCCTCGCCGTGGGCCGGCAGTGGCGCTCGGCCTCGCTGCTCCTCTCCCCTCTCCTGTTGCTCACAGTGGTGCTTCAGTTTTAGCAGTGGAAAACAGGTATCCATTTAGTTTTATTTTTTATTACCCAGAATAAGATGCTGATGCACTAAGCCACGTCGCTTAGCTCTTCCGCTGCCGCCTGTGGGGGAGGGCAAGAGTATGAGGACAACTGGGGCAGACACCGGGTTCCCAGAGAAGGCGAATGGACAGTTATCAGTGCCCAAACTTCCATGATGCCCAGGAAGCAACCTCCCATCTGGAGCCCTGTGGAGTATGGGGAGGGCAGGGATCTCCAGCCCCCTGAGGGTCCCTCTGCACACCACTTCTCATTCCCACCCCTAATGCTTGCCTTTTAATACTGGGACAGCCCGGGGACCCCGCCATGCTGGTAGGCCCGTTCTCCCTGGTACGTGGAGTCCTGTGACAGCGCCACGTCAATCTGGGACTTGAACTCGTCCCCAAGGTAACTGTCCTGGAAGATAAAGGGCGGGGGGGGGGAGGATGAGCCCCACCAACTCAGCGAGTCACAGGCAGACTGTTCCAAGCAATAGCCTCCCGCGCAGGCCTCATGGCCGGGCCCCACCTGGGATAGCTCGGGCTGGGAGAGGCCCGGCTGGCTCATCTGCGAGGGCTGGCTCATGGAGACATAGCCCTGTGTCAGCGCGCCCTGCGAGAAAGGCTGGGAGACCACATCCTGACTGGCCTGGCTGCTGGGGAGCGTTGCCTGGCTGGGCCCTGGGAGCCCAAAGCGGTTCTTCTGGCGTCCCCCACGGCCAGTCTTGCCTTTTGGAGTGCCTCGTCCTGGAAGAGAGCAGCAGGGTAAGTGGACAGGTGGAGTGCCCTGAGGACAGTATTGTGGGCTGGGGCTGACACGGTACTTACCTGTGGCTGGGCCATTGGCCTGCCCAAAGTAACCGGGTGGTGGCATGGGCGGCATGACCAGGTTGAAGGGGATGGGGATGTTCATGGCAGCCACATGGCTGGGGCCTGCGCTGATCATGCCGATCTGGTCATGAGTCTGGAAATACATGCTCGAGGGCCGACCTGGGTATGAAGGGCAGCGGGGTCAGGTGCCCACACTGCAGTCACACCAAGAAACCACAGCCATTCCATTCTCTGCCCTACAGCTGCAGGTTTTGTTCCTGCTCTGTCTGTGCTTCTCAAGTAAGTTAAAGCTGACTCAGGGAGCTCACCCAAATGCCAATCTGCCATCCTCTAGGTGATGACCCCAAGTGACCTCCACATTCCCACTTTACAAATGAGGAGGAGGAAGGAAATCCTTTCTTTGGCTTGTTTTACACTCGACACCACTCAACAAATGAAAGCAAGGAAAGCCTCAGCTCAGGGCGGGGGAAGTTTGCAGACTGCCCCTGCCCCCCACCCCTCCCATGACTGCACCACAGTCCCCCACAAGAGAAAGGCCCATCCTCGGAAGCTGTACCCTAACAGGAGCAGAGTCTACCGTTAGGTTCAGGGGAAAAGGAAGCAAAGACATGAACGAAAAAATGGTCCAAAGACAACAGGGTGGTACAGCCATGGGAAAGGCTCCTGGACCACATGGCTGCTGGGTGTGGAGGGGAGCAGCTCTGGGTGGCTAAGACGACATTCCAGTCTGGCCTAGTGACTAGGAGGGTCTCCCCGCAAAGTGAGCATGGAAATCAGAAGGGGAAGGGGGAAGTGTGTGTACCACACAGCAGGGCCCTCAGCCTCAATCCAGATACCACCAGGAGACCAGAACATGCCAAGCCAGCAGTATTGGTGACACCCTGGGTGAAGAGGTCACTGAAGACAGGATGTGATCCCAGGAAATACTGTTTAAACGTGTCACCCACCAATGGAGTAGATGCAGGATGTAGGACACAAGCAATCTCTAGGGGGCAGGTTCTGTTGACTCAAGGCTGAGGCCACCCAGGAGAGGTGGGGGGGGGGGCCCGGGCCAGAGAGGTCCCTGTGAACTCACTCTGGCTACTTCGGTCATAGACTGATCCTGGGATGATAGCCTCACGGGCGTCGTACATGGCGGTGGTCATGAAACGGGCACCCTGCAGAGAGGGCACACCAGTGAGGAATTTGCCGCCCCCTAGAAAAGAGCCACCAAGGCCATCCCCGTTCCCCCTAGCACTCACCGGGTTGATAGTGTTGACCAGTTTGCGTGGCTTGCTGAACTGCATGAGACTCTCTCGCAGGTTGTTGAGGGGTCCCTCCACCAGCACCTTCTGTTCCTTGTAGTAGTTGAGCAGATGGTTCCACAATGGCTGCTTCGACAGGGCCTTCGGGTTGCCAACAATGATGACCCCATACCTGTAACGTGCCCAAGAGAGGACAGACTTAGGCCAGAGCAACGGAGTTTGCACCTTGGCCAGGTCCCACATACCATCTGGGATGACAATCATACTCAAAGGACAAAGTGATAGGATGCTGCAGGAGGAGCCAAGTGCCAACAACAACAGGACCCCTGTGCAGGAGACTCAGGAGGGCACATGTAGGCAGTTAGGAGGTACCCCCAGGCCTGCTCCCTGGTGGATACACCTATTCATGCTTGGGAGGGGCACCAAGGACACAGTCCCAGCGCAATCGTCTTAGGTCAGAGTATGTTCCCGAACCAAGTGACAGGTGGGATGGGAGGGAAATGGACCTTCCCCAGGAAGAATGCTATGATCTACCCGATCCAGGTCTCAGGAAAGAGCAGACGTGACAAGCACGTGCCACCACAGGGACCCCACACAGGGAAGGTGTGAAGGGGTTACTCCTCACCAGGAGCCAGATTCTTATGGTGCCTCAATCTGAGGGCTAATAACGGGGGCAGGAGGAGCTTCCAGACAAATGCTTAGGATGCCATGTCAGGGCACAGTCCCCTAACCCCAAGTACCTTGCTCTTGTTAGGGCCACATTGAGACGCCGGGGGTCATTGAGAAACCCAATGCCCTGGTGCTCATTGGCCCGCACACAGGAGAGGATGATGAAGTCCTTTTCCCGCCCCTGGAATGCGTCCACGCTGGCGATCTCCACCTCCTGAAAGGGAGCCTCCTCAGTCACGGGTGACACGGACTAGGTCCCAAAGAGCACCGTGCAGTCTACTCCCGCCCCACCCAGCATGGCAAGGACTCAGTTCTACCAGTGAACACCAACACAGCTCCTACGAGCAGAGAGTAGACCCTGGACAGACCAGTAAAGAAGCACCGACTCTACATTAGTTTTCCACACCAGCATCTGGACCTGGCCTCTGCTGAATCTCTGTCCTTTCAAATAGTCACTGGTCTCCCAGTTAATGAAAATGTACCTGCTC